TTGAATAGAACAGTGGAACAGCTGGTTTCTTCATCACTTCTCAGATTAGAAAATGCATTGGAGCATTGCATCTTGTCTCATGAAATTCTAAACAGTTCTCAGGGTCTGATATTTTGGATTCTTACACTACTAAAACTCAGATCTGACTCCAGAGTCACACCAATATTCTTGACCTTATTTTTTGTCGTTTGACCTTTAGTGCCAAGGTACACATTCACCTTGAGAAGCTCATCTCTGTTCCCAAACGCAGTGACTTCAGTTTTCTCTTTGTTTAACTGAAGAAAGTTTTGGCACATCCAATTGCTCATTTCATCAATGCATTGGCAGAGGGTGTCAATGGGGCTGTAGTCATTAGGCAGTAAGGCTAGGTAGATCTGAGTGTCATCAGCAGAGCTGTGGTAGGAGATTTGGTTCTTTCTCATTATTTGGCTCAGAGGGAGCATGTAAAGGTTGAACAGGAGAGGTGCCAGAATCGAGCCTTGAGGGACTCCACACGTCATGGGTGTCCACCTCGACCTATGGTCACCTATACTGACATGGTAACCTCGACCTTCAAGGTAAGATCTAAACCATTTGAGGACCGTGCCAGACAGCCCAACCCAGTTTTCCAGCCTATCCAGAAGTATGCTGTGATGGACAGTGTCAAATGCAGCACTGAGATCCAACAATACCAGCACTGTTATTTTACCTGAATCTGTGTTTAGACGTATATCATTGATTATCTTTATAAGAGCGCTCTCTGTACTGTGATGTGCTCTGAAACCAGATTGAAAATTGTCTAAACACCCCCTGAAGTTTAAGAACTTGTTGACCTGGTTAAAAACAACTTTTTCAATGATTTTGCCAATGAAAGGGAGATTTGAGATTGGCCTGTAATTGCTCAATAGGGTGTTTTCCAGGTTGCTCTTCTTCAAGAGGGGTTTAACAACTGCAGTTTTAAGGGAGATTGGAAAAATCCCTGAGAGAAGTGAAGCATTTACCACTTTTAGAAGATCCATTTCTAAACAGGTAAACACCGTTTTGAAGAATGATGTGGGGAGCGTGTCAAGACTGCAGGTTGATGTTTTCATAACTTGCACAATTTCTTCTAAGATTTTACCGTTAATTGCCATGAAATCAGACATAATGTCTGATTTCTTAAGTTGTGGTTGAGCTTGTTTGACTTTGACACAAATTGGCTGATTGGATGAGCTGATTGCCTTTCTGATATTATTGATCTTGTCATATTATTGATCTTGTCAATGTAATTACTCTTGTCAAACTCATTACATTTGCTTTCAGAGAGGAGCTCACTTGGAATCTGACTGGGGGGGTTTGTGAGTCTCTCTACCGTTGCAAAGAGTGTGCGAGCATTATTTAAGTTGCTGTTTATAAGGCTTGAAAAGAAAGTCTGTCTAGCAGTGTTTAGTTCCATATTAAAGGCATGAAGACTGTCTTTATAGATATTATAATGGACTACTAGTTTCGTCTTTCTCCACATTCGCTCAGCTTTCCTGCATTGTCTTTTCATCATTTGTACTCTAGGTGACCTTGTCCAAGATCCCTTTTGCCTGCCAGTCATCTTCTTGACTTTAACAGGAGCGATGTCATTTATGACATTCTCAATTTTAGAATTGAACAAATCAAGGAGAGAATCAACAGAGTCTGCAGATATACTTGGTGATAGCGATATGGCCTTCATAAACTGCTCACTAGTGTTCTCATTTATGCATCTCTTTCTGACAGAGACTGATCTGTCTTTAATAGCTGGAGTGATCAATATATCAAAAAAGATACAGAAATGATCAGATAGTGCCACATCCTTAACAACAGTCGATGAAATGTGTAAACCCTTAGTTATAAGTAGATCAAGAGTGTGTCCACGATTGTGTGTGGGTCCTTGAACATGCTGAGTCAGATCAAAAGTGTTAAAAACAGTCATCAGTTCTTTTACAGCATTGATTTCTGGATTATCAATGTGAATATTAAAATCCCCAGCAATACTAAAATAATCATATTCAGATGTTACTATTGATAACAGCTCTGTAAAATCCTCAATAAAAGCTGGAGAATATTTTGGAGGTCTGTAGATAATGATCAGTAAGATGCGTGGAGACCCTTTTAGTGCTATACTCAGATATTCAAAAGACAAATAGTCACCAAATGACACTTGTTTACACTCATACACATCTTTAAACAGGGCAGCGATGCCTCCACCTCTCCTATTAGCTCTGCAAACACTCAAAAAGTCAAAGTTTAAAGGAGCTGCTTCATTCAGAACTGCTGCGCTACAGCTGTCATCTAGCCAAGTTTCAGTTAAAAGCATAAAATCAAGGCAATTTGTGTTGATAAAATCATTGACTAAAAGAGACTTATTGTTGAGTGATCTGATGTTTAAAAGCGCTAACTTAACAGTTTTAGCTGTTTTTTCTATAGTAGTCTCAGATCTACATTTAATAGACACCAGATTTGAATGATTTGCTAAACGGCCTGATGAAGTCTTTGGTTTTCTGTCACTTAACACAACACATATCTGCTTAGAGAAAGCTACAGACACACTGGGTTCCTGCTTGTTCTGAAAACATTTGATAAAGACACTGTCATCTAAGCAGGTCCCCGACACACATCACAGAGAGCTCTTGTGTTCACCAGCTGAAGATGGGTTGTTGTTGTTTGGGCCCTGGCGGTGTGATTGGATGGCTCTTCCAGGTGGGCTCATAGGTGGTTGTGGAGCAGGCCGCTTTTTGGTTGGTAACTGGGGGCTTGCGTCAATAGAGTGTGAAAGTTTAGTTCCAGCACACACCAGTTCCTCCATCTTTTTTGAAAAACCCAAGAGTGGTGAACATTGTGACAATGAGAACGTGTCCGGTGACAGAGGCTGTGCATCTGGAGATTCTGTCTGCAGAAATATGTTTTCCTGAGGATCATTTTTGAGTGACGAGACTTGATGCTGTTCTGATGCATCACAGTCTGTCTTTGTTGAGCAGAGGGCAACTGATAGTGTCTCTATCAACATTGGGTGTTTTGGCTGCATGGTATCTCTGTCCTTGTGTGATGCATCAGCTACAAGTCCACTCAGGAGCTGATTTAAGGTCCTGTGGTCATTCTGACATTTGCTAGGTGTGTGGATGATGACAGCTGATGGATGATTGAGGGAGAAAAAAATATTGTCCTTTAGCACCTTTGCACCAAGTTTGTTTGGATGAAGGCCGTCTGATGTAAACAGCTGTCTTTGGTTCCAGAAGAGATTGAAGTTGTCGATGAAATTCAGTCCTTTCTTGTTACATGTTTTCTGTAGCCATACATTTAGACCAAGAAGCCGTGAAAACATATTTGTCCCTCTTGCAGGGAGTGGTCCACTGATGAACGGCTGAACCTTCAATCTTTCAGCTGTTTCCAAGAGCTCACAGAAATCTTTCTTGAGCAGTTCTGACTGTTCCTTCCGAATATCATTCTTCCCCACATGGATGATAATCCGTTTTGCCGTCTTGTGCTTTTTCAGAATTTCCTCAAGTTCTTTGTTTACATCAGAAACTGTTGCATGAGGAAAGCAGTATGTCATTGTAGATTTTTCTGTTCCATGCAGAATTAGTTGCTGAATCATGCGATCTCTGTCTGACTGCATTTGGGGATTCTTCACCCATATTACTCAAAACTTCATATCTGTTCTGAAGCTGTATTTGAGTCTGAGCTGTATTTGGGGTAGAAGACACTAATGGGGCAGTGTCTGATCTGACCCCACGAGTACCCTTTGGTCTCGCACCTTGTTTTTGCCAGTTCTTATTACGCTGATTTTCAACAGTTTTATTCTGTTTTTCTGTTCTCAAAACCGTAGCTGGAACAGATTTGTGGGACTCACCGGCTGTGTGCTGTGAGGGTCCACAAAGTGGTCCTGTGGAATCTGGCAGTTCTGGTCAGATCGCAAGCAACTTCGTTTCAAGAACTGCAATCCTTTGTAGAAGTTTGTGGCAGTTTGTACAGCAGTGAGAATCTGAATTAATCCGATCCAGAGGCATTTTCACAGCCGTGTCTTTCCGTCTCCGGAATGTTAGCAGCTGGCTGATAGCTGGTAGCGGGAGGATTGTTTAGACGGTAATTTCCCTCTTGTTAGTAAAGCTATATTCCAGAAAGTTTGTAGAATTGATGCTGATCTTCAAGCCGTGTTGTTTGAGCACTGTGCTGATAGGCTCAAGTTAAAATTAGAGTATAAGATATAAAAGCAAGAGTGCGAAGAGCGGAGCAGTAGGCAGAGACGTCCGAACAGTGGCAAAGCAGGAAGTCGAACCATCAGAGCAAGGACTACGCCCTGTGCCAAGCGAAGTCAGGGCTATTAAGGAGGCCCCAAGCCTGGGAATGTGTCAACCCAGTTGTTTCTGGGCATGGTAACGTATTATGGGAAGTACTTGCTGGATCTTTCAACTGTACTGGCCCCAATGTACCAGTTGATGCATCACGATTGCCTGTGGAAATAGGGGACAGCTCAGGTGACTGCCTTTACAAAAGTCAAGACTTATTACAGTCAGTTAGGGTGTTAGTCAATTTTGACCCTGTGGAAGAACTGACAGTGTCTTGTGATGCCTCTCCATATGGCATTGGAGCAGTTCTGTCACATATGATGGAGCAGGGCATGGAGAAGCCCATTGCGTTTGCGTCAAGAATGCTTACTAAAGCAGAAAAGGGATACTCTCAGCTGGCCAAAGAAGGTTTGGCCATTGTGTTTGCTGTGAAACGCTGTCACCAATTATTACAAAGATACTAAAAACAACACAAACGTCGGTGCATGTCAAAACTTCTCCTCACACTGAAGGCAGTTTCTTGTCTATTTTATACCCTTGTTTGTCTTTCCTCATATGTTTGTTGTTAATATGCCTGTTAACTGCAGGTCTTCAGCAGGATTTATCTCAGTGTCAGTTTAACACTCTGCAGACTGAACACATGAACATTCAGCAGTGTGAGTAGAACTCTGTATAATCTGCCAGATTAACACATTAATACTATTGTTTGTTCTGTCCTCTACACAGGCTGCAGTACTGTTTTCTCTCTGCTATTCATTGTGAGACTTTTAGTTCAGTTCTACAATCCTCAAACTGTGTGCTGAGAGAGCTGGAGCTGAGTAACAATGACCTGCAGGATTCAGGAGTGGAGAAGCTCTCTGATGGACTGAAGAGTCAACACTGTAAACTGGACACACTGAGGTCTGAGTTCAAACACCTGATTGATTGACTAGATAGACTTATTATTGACTGATTGATTGTTTGATTGATTGACTGATTGATTATAACTATTATTTACATCAGATAAATGACTAAAAATTATGCTGTAAATTTGATTTGTGTTCTTCTTTCTCAGATTGTTCATGTGTAATCTCACTGCTCAGTCCTGTGAGACTTTTAGTTCAGTTCTACAATCCTCAAACTGTGTGCTGAGAGAGCTGGACCTGAGTAACAATGACCTGCAGGATTCAGGAGTGGAGCTTCTCTCTGATGGACTGAAGAGTCAACACTGTAAACTGGAGACACTGAGGTCTGAGTTCAAGCACCTGATTGATTGACTAGATAAACTTATTATTGACTGATTGATTGACTGATTGATTATAACTATTATTTACATCAGATAAATGACTAAAAATTATGCTGTAAATTTGATTTGTGATCTTCTTTCTCAGATTGGCCATGTGTAATCTGTCTGCTCAGTCTTGTGAGAGTTTGTCTTCAGTTCTACAATCATCAAACTGTGTGCTGAGAGAGCTGGACCTGAGTATCAATGACCTGCAGGATTCAGGAGTGGAGAAGCTCTCTGATGGACTGAAGAGTCCACACTGTAAACTGGGGACACTGAGGTCTGAGTTCAAGCACCTGATTGATTGACTAGATAGACTTATTATTGAATGATTGATTGATTGATTGATTGATTATAACTATTATTTACATCAGATAAATGACTAAAAATTATGCTGTAAATTTGATTTGTGATCTTCTTTCTCAGATTGGTCATGTGTAATCTCAATGTTCAGTGCTGTGAGAGTTTGTCTTCAGCTCTACAATCCTCAAACTGTGTGCTGAGAGAGCTGGAGCTGAGTAACAATGACCTGCAGGATTCAGGAGTGAAGAAGCTCTCTGATGGACTGAAGAGTCAACACTGTAAACTGGAGACACTGAGGTACAATAAATCCACCACATATGACCATATTATAAATACTACCATAAGTAGTTGTAAATATAGTGTAATACCACAAAGTATGATGAGATGAGAGAAATACGTGTGCAGTAATGATTATTGCACTGTGCTTTAAAATATTAAGCAAACTATTCCTTTCTCTGATTTCCTTTATTATTTGATGTAACCCTGGAGCCAAGCCTGGGGTTGGAGCTCAAATGCGAGTGCCTGGTGGCCGGGTTTTTTCCCACGATGTGGGACCATCCTCCCGCAGGCCCACCAGCTGCAGGGGGAGCCGTAAGGGGCCGATGCATTGTGGAACAGGTGGTGGTCGAAGGTTTGGGCCACGACAACCCGATCGTCGGGCACAGAAACTAGTTCTTGGGACATGGAATGTCACCTCACTGGGAGAGAAGGAGCCCGAGCTTGTGTGGAAGGTGGAATGGTACCGACTAGAGATAGTTGGGCTCACCTCCACGCACAGCTTGGGCTCTGGAACTCAACTTCCTGAGAAGGGCTGTACTTTCTTCTACTCTGGAGTTGCTCACGGCGAGAGGGAGCGGGCTGGTGTGGGCTTGCTTATAGCTCCCTAACTAAGCCGCCATGTGTTGGAGTTTTCCCCGGTCAACGAGAGGGTAGCCTCCGCGCATTTTTGGGTCGGGTCTCTCATTGTGGTATGTCCCTACGGTCAAACACCAGTGTAGAGTACCCGGCATTCTTGGAGTCCTTGGGAGGGGTGCTGGATGGTGCCCAGACTGAGGACTCCATTGTTCTACTGGGGGACTTGCCCACGTGGGTAATAAAATTGAAACCTGGAGAGGTGGAATTGGGAGGAACGGCCTTCCTGATCTGAACCCGAATGGCGTTTTGTTATTGGACTTCTGTGCTAATCCCAGTTTGTCCATAACGAACACCATGTGAAAGAAAAAGGGTGTCCATCAGTGGACTTGGCACCAGGACACCCTAGGGCGGAGGTCAATGATTGACTTTGTGGTTGTATCATCTGATCTCCGACTGTATGTCTTGGACACTCGGGTAAAGAGAGGGGCAGAGCTGTCAAGTGATCACTACCTGGTGGTGAGTTGGATCTGCTGGCGAGGGGGAAAGCTGGACAGACTTCGTAGGCCCAAGCATATTGTGAGGGTCCTCTGGGAACACCTGGCTGAACCCCAAGTCAGAGGGATTTTCAATTCTCACCTCCGGAAGAGCTTTGAACAGATCCCGAGGGAGGCTGGAGACATGAAGACTGAGTGGTCCATGTTCTCTGACTCTATTCGGCCGTGATGAGCTGTGGTAGTAAGGTCTGTGGTGCCTGTCAGGGTGGCAATGCACGAACCCGGTGGTGGACATCGGAAGTAAGGGATGCCGTCAAGCTGAAAAAGGAGTTCTACAGGGCTAGGTTGGCTTGCAGGTCTCCCGAGACAGCTGATGAGTATCAACAGGCCAAGCATCCTGCAGCCCAGGTAGTTGTGGAAGCAAAAACTTGGGCCTGGGAGTTCAGGGAGACCAAGCTTAATCAAACATGGATCTTCAGCATGCACTGGGGCGGTTTGCTGCTGAGTGTGATGCAGCTGGGATGAGAATCAGCACCTCCAAGTCCAAGCCCTTGGTGCTCCACCGGAAAAAGGTGGTTTGCCATCTCCAGGTTGGAGGAAAGTCCTTACCCCATGTGAAGGAGTTAAAGTATCTCGGGGTTTTGTTCACGAGTGAGGGAAGGCTGGAACGTGAGATTGACAGGCGGATTGGTGCAGCGGCAGCAGTAATGCGGTCGATGTACCGGTCTGTTGTTGTGAAGAAGGAGCTGAGCCGAAAGGCAAAGCTCTCGATTTACCGGTCAATCTACATTCCTACTCTCACCTATGGTGATGAGCTTTGGATCATGACCGAAAGGACAAGATCTCGGATACAAGAGGCCGAAATGAGTTTCCTTCGAAGGGTGGCAGGGTGCACTCTTATGGACTGGTCGAGGAGCTGTGACACCTGGCAGGTGTCCCAATGGGAGGCGGCCTCGGGGAAGAACCCGGACACGCTGGAGGGACTACATGCCTGGGAACACCTCGGGATCCCCCCGGAGGAGCTGGAGGAAGTGTCTGGGGATAGGGAAGTCTGGGGTTCTCTCCTAAGACTGCTGCGACCCGGCCCCGGAACAGCAGCAGAAGATGAATGAATGAATGAATGAATGAGTTTTTTAATTATAGTATAGTGTAGTTTATTTGCAGCATATTTACTGAGATTACAGCCTTTGTGAGGTTCTCTTATATTCTATAAAGATCAGTATTGTCATTTAATTGTGGTGGAATATGTTTGTAAGGATATCTGTAAAATTCACATTTGTATCTCTCTAGGTTTACAGGAGACGGTATGTTAGTGATGTAGTGATGTGCACTGTGTGTGTGTGTGTGTGTGTGTGTGTGTGTGTGTGTGTGTGTGTGTGTGTGTGTGTGTGTGTGTGTGTGTGTGTGTGTGTTTGTGTTTGTAGGTTGTCTGGCTGTATGGTGACAGAGGAAGGCTGTGGTTTTCTGTCTTCAGCTCTGACTTCAAACCCCTCACACCTGAGAGAGCTGGATCTGAGCTACAATCATCCAGGAGATTCAGGAGTCAAGCTGCTCTCTCAACAACTGGAGGATCCAAACTACACACTGCACACACTCAAGTATGTGGAGCAGCACTTACAAGTTTAATTTAGATGATTTCTCTTTAGAGGCAGAGAACAGATCAACTCTGGTAAATTAGATTAGATTCACCTTTACTGTCATTGTGTGAAGTACAATGTGTGAAGACAATGAAATGCAGTCAGCATCTAACCAGAAGAACAAATAACAAGAGTATAAATGATGTAAATGTATAAAAATATGTGGGACCAGCTCAGCACAGCTATGTGAAATATAATAGCCGGTGCAGGAGTATAGACATAATTTAATTCAATTTCAATTCAGCTTTATTTGTATAGCGCTTTTACAATGTAGATTGTGTCAAAGCAGCTTCACATAAATGGTCATAGTAACTGGAACAGTGTGGTTCAGCTTTTAGTGTTTAAGTTCAGTTCAGTTCAGTTTAGCTCAGTTCAGTGTGATTTAATCATTACTGAGAGTTCAAACACTGAAGAGCAAATTCATCGATGCGTAGCTCTACCAGTCCTGAACCATGCGAGGCAGTGGCGACAGCGGAGAGGGAAAAAAAACTTCACCTGATGGGAGTGAAGAAAAAAAACCTTGAGAGAACCAGACTCAGTTCACGACTATTTTAATTTCTCCGCTGGCCAAAAGTCTTGTGCAGAGCTTCAGTCACCGCGGTGGAGGCTGGAAGATGGCCTCAGCGAAGACTCGTCTGTCCCTGGAGCGTCGCTGGAATCAGACTCATGTTCTCCACTCCCCACGACCATCAGCGCAGCAGCAGCTCAGGATATGGCCTGGTCCCGGATATGGAAACCTTGGGATCATCTCGTCGCTGGTCTTGGATCCAATCAGTGACTCCGCGTAATCTGAGGACCTCGGGATGAGTATCCCCAGTTGAAAATAGAGAATAAAGAAAATAATTAGCGTAGCTGCTGTTCATAGTGTATATAAGCAAGATGCAGAAGCCAGTGTGGAACCCGCTAGGTGATGCATTGAGTGTATGCTTTACTAAACAGATAGGTCTTTAATCTAGTGTTGAACTGGGAGAGTGTGTCTGAGCCTCGGACATTACCAGGAAGGCTATTCCAGAGTGTAGGAGCCATGAAAGAGAAGGCTCGACCTCCTTTACTTGATTTTGCTATTCTAGGTACTACCAGAAGCCCTGAATTTTGAGATCTTAAGGAGCGAGTTGGTTCGTAGCGAGACAGAAGGTTGGTTAGATGAACAGGAGCTCGATTATTTAGAGCTTTATAGGTGAGAAGTAATATTTTAAATTCAATACGAAATTTAACAGGCAGCCAGTGTAAGGAGGATAAAATTGGGGTTATATGATCATATTTTCTAGACCTGGTCAGAACTCTGGCTGCTGCATTTTGTACTAATTGAAGTTTGTTAATAGAGGATGCTGGGCAGCCAGCAAATAGAGCATTACAGTAATCCAGTCTCGAAGTCATAAAAGCATGGACTAGCTTTTCTGCATCTGAGATGGATAGCATATTTCGTAATTTAGCGATATTTCTCAGATGAAAGAAGGCAGTTTTTGTGACATGGGATATATGATTATCAAAAGTTAGATTGCTGTCTAATATGACACCCAGATCTTTTATAGTAGAGCTAACGCTAACTCTGTATCCCTCTAATTGTAAATTGAGTTGCGAGATCTGCTGTGTGCAAGATTTAGGCCCAATAAGTAATAATTCTGTTTTGTCGGAGTTTAAGAGAAGGAAATTGTTGGTCATCCAGTCTTTAACATCTCTAATACACTCAGTTAGTTTAGACAGTTCAGACGTCTCGTCAGGTTTAGTTGAAATATATAATTGAGTATCATCTGCATAGCAGTGAAAGCTGATCCCATGTCTTCTAATAATGTCTCCCAGAGGTAGCATGTAAATTGTAAACAGTAAAGGGCCTAAAACTGATCCTTGAGGCACCCCATACTTTACTGGGCTGACTTGTGAAGGCTGTCCATTAAATTCACACACTGGTAGCGGTCAGTTAAGTATGACTTAAACCATTGTAGAGCCTGTCCCTGGACACCTGTAGACTTTAAGCGATTTATGAGGATATTGTGGTCAATGGTATCAAATGCCGCACTAAGATCGAGTAAAACTAATAGCGAGACGCACCCTCGGTCAGCAGCTAAGAGTAAATCGTTGGTTATTTTCACTAAGGCGGTTTCTGTACTGTGGTGAGCCCTGAAACCTGACTGAAACACTTCAAAAATATTGTTCGTCTGCAGATAAGAGCATAATTGAGTGGAAACAACTTTTTCTAGTATTTTAGACATAGATGGAAGATTTGAAATCACTGAAAAAATTCATGAAGTCATCACTACTAATTTGCGGTGGAGTAGTTTGTTCCAAGGATGACCGATTATTTGCTAATTTAGAGATGGTGTTAAATAAAAATCTAGGATTGTTATGATTATTTTCTATCAGTTTGCGCAGGTGCTCGGTCCTGGCAGATTTTAGAGCCTCCTATAGCTGGACATACTGTCTTTGTACGCAATTCTAAAGACCTCTAAATTAGTTTTTTTCCATTTACGTTCCAGGGCGCGGGTTGCTGTTTTGAGCGCACGAGTATAACTATTATACCATGGTACAGTTTTAATCTCTCTAGCCTTTTTTAATATGATGGGTGCCACAGTATTTAGTGTGCTAGTAAAGATGGCATCCATACTGCTGGTTACTACATCAAGATCATTTGAGTTTGCGGGTGCATTACGAAATAGAGAGAGATCAGGTAAGTTATTTATAAATTCATCTTTAGTTGACGGAACGATACATCTGGAGAACTCCCCTGCTGTAGTAGCTGATGAACAGATAGTTAGTATGAGATAGAAATAAAGTATTCAGTGTTGCACCAGAAGACTCAGGAACAGTGTCTGTCCCTCAGCTGTAACCATCTGAACTCCAACCCTAAACCACTGAACAATACTCACTAGATATGTTAAAAACCGACGCTAATGACATAAATAATGTACTGTCACTATATACCTCACTGTGAGATGCTCCTTATACCCACTGTATACTGCACCATTATAGATGACGCTAATGATACATTAGGGCTCGCGTTTATGGATTTAATACACTCACTTGGGATAAAGCAAAATGTTGTGGGTCCAACCCATCGCTTAAAGCAGACGTTAGATCTAATTCTGTCTTGTGGAATCGAGGTTATTGACGTAGACATTATACCACAAAGTGATGATATTACAGATCACTACCTCTTACTATATAAGCTGTGTTTACCAGCAAACCCGCTCCAATACTCCGCCCTAGTAGAACTACCTGAGCTCAAACTCCCCACTCGCCCTGCAAACAGACGGGAGCCCCAGGCTCGAGGATCTTTTGAGCTCAGGGCTTTTTCCCGGGACAGCATGCCAAACTATTACCAATCATCAGCCTGAAGTGTGTTCAGTGTTTATTTACTGACTGAATGTGAATCTGTGTGTGTTTACAGCCTGGATCATGGAGGAGAGAAGATGATTACAGCAGGACTGCACAAATGTAGGTCTAAACACATACACACAATAACACTACACACGTACACAGCTGTAGTGTTCTAAATGTGTGTGTTCTTGTGTTCAGATGCCTGTTTCCTCACACTGGATCCAAACACAGCACACCCTGAACTCAAACTGTCTGAGGAGAACAGAAGGATGACCCGAGTGAAAGAGAAACAGCCGTATCCTGATCATCCAGACAGATTTGATCATCATGCTCATGTGTTGTGCAGAGAGAGTGTGTGTGGACGCTGCTACTGGGAGATTGAGAAGAGTGGAAATGATGTGTGGATATAGCAGTGTCATATAAGAGCATCAGGAGGAAGGGAGGAGGTAACGAGAATCAGCTTGGAGAAAATAATAAGTCCTGGAATTTAATCTTTGCTCCCTACAGTTTCTCATTCAGACACAGTCACATACAGAATGGTCTCCCCATGAAAGCGATCAGCAGTAGAATAGGAGTGTTTGTGGATCACAGTGCAGGAACTCTGATCTTCTACAACATCTATAGAGACACAACCATCCGCGTATACTCAGTCCAGACCACATTCACTGAGCCGCTCTATGCTGGGTTCTTGGCTTACTATGGCTCAACAATGAAACTGTGCTGAAGACCGACAGGAGATTTACCTATAACACACGTGTGTTACTTTCAGAAATGTTACCATATACTGTTTAATATTAGTACTTCATATAAGATTCATACACTTATGTTTAATGAAATTCTTTATGAAGAATTAAAATGAATTATAAGAAGCCTTATAAAGTTTTTTTTTAATGTTCATGTCTATTTCTGTATAATCTTCCATCTATAGTGTTAAAGAAGCTGAATACTGTGCTCTGCAGTTAATCCATCATCACTGTGGTCATCTGAGTAATTCTGCTTCATCTGAGCATTATTGTTTTACTGTATTGATGTGAAATTAGCTTTATGTGTTCCTCCATCTTCATCCGTCTTGCTGTTTTCTGGTCATCAGATAAGCAGATCAGCTCTGTAGTGAAGTGAGGAGGTGTTCAGTCTGTCAGCTGAAGTCCAGCTCTTCCTGCCCCATGAGCAGTTTATAAGAGTCATTCATGTGTGTTGGATCAGATCAGTCGACTGTTCAATGTGTACACGTATAGTCCAGACTGAGTTTATCTACTAAATGTGACTAATAGTGTGTCATTTCCCCAGTTCTAGTGGAGCTCTACCAGCTCTGTGCCTCTGATTCTTCAATATGAGAGAATCATTCAGTCTGTCAGAGCTTCAGCCTCCACTAAACCACCATTGATTTATTTTACTCCTGATTATCAGTGGATTATTCTGTTATTATCTGCTTTATTTGTAGCTGTGAAAGAGAAACTGATCCTCAATAAAGCTCATGTTTCATGATAAAGTTCTGGTGTCATGTTTAGTCAGTAAAACACTTCAGCACAGGGTCCAGCGGTGTTTCCTCCATCATGATCATCATCTCCATCCTCACAGAGCAATTAGAGCACTGAGTTCTCCTACAAGATGGCTGAGCTCCATGTGTTTCTGGATCAGAGGATGGAGGAGCAGGGAGAGGTGTGCACTGGGGCCTGTGAGTGAGGTGTCTGTGGAGACTGCCTGACACCACTGACGTCTGCACTGTTCTTTCTTACTGATGAAGTAGAACATTCTACTAAATATCTACTATACTAAATATGTAAGAAAGCTGTGCATTTTCTACACTGATCTCACTGGTAACAGCACTAGTCCTACATGTTAGACTGATGTCCAGGTAAACTGATAAAGGTGGAGTGATTTACACACACAAGAGAAACAGTGTTCACTGTAGTCATCTGTGTTTCTGCACTCCTGCAGCGGTGTCCAACTCATCAGACCAGTGGGAAATCTCTACACACTGTTATGGAGTTCCTCGAGGCAAGACCAGGAGAATGGTCAGACACTCAAACAATCAGCTGTCTAATCTGAGGAGGAGATCAGCGAGGAAACCAACAAGAAGACGACACTAGAGGCTGGTGTCTTGCGTCTGTTGATGTTGTCTAAGCGCGTGGCGGGGTGTTTACATCGTGGCCGTGTTGTGCTTCAGAATAATGAACCCCCAAACTGAGTGAGTGAGAGAATGAGAATATTGTGAAGGGTTCAGTATTGAAGAGCTCTGGAGACTCACTCTGATCAGATAATCAACTGCAAGAGTCTTCACATGCTCTCAGTCGAGTTCTGGAGGACACACAGTCATGAGGAAGACCTGCGCTGATCCCACAGACCACCAGAGACACCTTGCACAAGGAGTTACGACACAAAAGGTGATCAGAAGAAAGCCCTCGTCTGATTTGACCATGTTTTCAGATTTGACCACATTCTCCCCCTGTTGTTCACTTGTTCACTTTATTTTGTGGATTCTGTTTTTGTCTTTGCTGATTTCTGGAACCGCTCTTCCCCAGACTCAAACCCAGATCATTGTCGTCAACATAGTCAGCTCCTCTCTGCATCTCAAGTCCGCCGACGTACACGACAAGCTAACTGGACAAACTGGTTGCAGTGGGAAAGCCCTCCACAAGGAGGTAAGCGGTCAGCCGGTAAACACCAAAGGAACACCGCCATACCGCCCCGTAGAGTTCGATTAAAAGATGAAATGCAGCCATACATACCTCCGGCTACATAATTCTCGGTCTCCAGAAACGTCAGCGAGACTACGTTTTCAGAATGAGCCGGTGTTGGTCTAAACGCCACTCAGACAAATCTGGAAAGATTCTTCAACAGGAGAACATTCAGTCACACACACTATAGCATCTGTCCCAATGAGCAAGAGCAGCATTACTGAAGACCAGTCAGACATTAATCCAACCTTTAATCATGTATTACTCTACCTTATATTCATCTGATTATAATCTCCTCTGACCGAGATTCCTCCTTTAATCTTAGCTAATGATCAGACTGAAGTAGAGGAGTCCATCAGCTGAGCAGAACTTCAACACATGTAAATACAGACTAATGCTCCTGTTTCTGACTGATCTGAGGAATCAATGTCTTTCAGTCGTCTCCCACAATCTGTCCATAAATACATTTGACCAAAAGAAGAGAAGCACCTTCTGAACTGTGATCATTTCAACTAATGCATTTATTAAATGTGGAAAACACGTAGTCTTGAAGATCAGAGAATATCTTTCCCACCATCATATCATCTTTATGTTTAATGTGTAAATAAGAGAACACTGTCATGTTCGTGTCTTATAATAATGACGTCCAGTTGGAACAAGTGTCTTCTTGATTTACAAGTTCAGTCTGCCTGAAGTTCAGTCTGTCTCGTCTCACATAAACCCTTATAAACCTCTGGTGCCATCTAGTGTTCACACACGTCATAACATACCATCACAACAAACACAATAAATAGCTGTTGATGATAAAGAAGCGTTTGGAGAACTAATAATACTGAACACTTTCTGTTTCAGACGAGGACTGAGGTAAAACTCTGATTCTAAAGGAGAGTAGACAGATACACTGGCTTTGGTGAAAGACGCATGTGAACGGCAGTCGGATACTTTGGTCAGTCATTAAACACCACCTCACCGTCATTACAGCACAATGAAAACTAGTAAAAGAGTGCGGGCGCCGTTCCTCATCCAGAAGTGGACAGGATTTACCATACCTTCTCATCTGCTGTCTTAAAGTCCTTCTCACTCTCTGGGGGAGGATGAAGAGCGAGGGCTGAGTGGACAGTGGAGAGTAGAGGACAGGTCACATTAAGAATCTTGATTTTGAGCTGGAAATTGGATGGAGAGCAAAGACCAAACACAGCAAGTTCCTGAACTTTCCCTCTGGAACATGCTGCAGACTCTGGAGATGCGTGAAGAGTTGTAGTGTTTGGAAAGCTCTGAAATGTCATGCCTGTGACCCAGATTCATTTGTACCTGAAGGAAGTGGACACCTTATTCCCACTCAATAGAAAAATAAATGAATGAACTGATGTGTTAATAAGGAAACAGATCATCTAGCACAGGCAATTTAAGGAAAAGCTCATGCATGTACAAAATACACCAGCAAATAAAGAGACGATCTTCATCAGTTTGACAACACACATGCTGCAAATCTCTCACAACACAAACAACTGAAGAAACACACAGCAAACCGGTCACAACCCACATAGCAACATTTCTCTGGCCCAGCTCTGGCCCACACAATCAGGTTTTGCTTGGCCCACATGCCGCAGTGAATTACGGTACATGACTGGACCAAATCTGGCTACCAGACAAGGGCCAAACACGGACCATATCTGGGTCAAGTCTCAGCCAAGTTAATAACTCATAACTGGGCCTGAACTGGGCCAGATAGGTTGGTGCGTCACGATTGCAATGAAGTTGATAAACCCATGGAGTGATGCGCTTTAGGCACACTATGGGCACGCTTTTTCTCAAAGTGACCTGATTGGTAGAATTTTTTTTCTTTACTCAAAAATGATTTTAGTGTATTTTAAATGTGGGTCAAGCCTGGCCAAACTCACATGGCCCACTTATCAAATGTTTAAATCTGGGCCAAATACTACGTTTTTCATCTGGCCTTAGAGACGGTGCCAGCTCTGCCAAACCCGGGC